GCCCGAACTGAAGCCAAACTTCTCAATGAATTCTCTGACGAATCCAAATCGTGCTGTCACTAATACTCCTTCTGTGGCAACTTGTGACATTCAGCAAGTAGAGAATTAACTGTTTCATCATCTTGTTCACACATCCTGCATTTGCTTTCTTCTTGTGACCTGTCTATCCTGACTGTGGCTGTTTTCATTCTGATGACCTGACTACAAGTATGAGTGATTCTTTAGAAAACCATCTTTTACCTAAAGCCACCTCTCAAGTCCACCAATTGTCCCTGTTTGTTGAAAACAACTGAATATGAAGCTTATTTTCTTTTAATTTATCATGCTGCTTCTCCTTATGATACTTCTTTACTATAGTCACTTGCACAGCATTTCATGTTTCCAACTCGCCATCCATCTCACGTGTTGATATCAGAAGCAATTCATAAGAAATCTTAACATAATTCTCGTCATCACTATTTGGATTCAGAGCCTTATGCACATTAATCAACTTCAGCGTTCCTCTGTCCATCTCTTAAATTCTGACATTATTAGTAGTATTATTGTTGTTATTATTATTGTTGTTGTTCAATGCTGGGGTACAAATATACGGAGCCCAATTTACCAATCATGATACCCAGTTTAGTGAGTAGATACGAAGTACATGAATCTCAACTAAAATTATTATTATTATTATTGTTGTTGTTGTTGTTGTATTCGCTTTATCTATAAAATAAGGTCATGCTTCAATGACATGATCAGTCTGGCCTGAGAAATCCCATAATATCTTTTAACCGCCATTTTCTTCTGCTGCCTCTGGCTGATGTTCATACCGTTTCTATTTTGCACCAAAGCCTAAGTTACGGTACACTCCCTGATGTATTCTCTGACCAATCCAATCATGCTGTCGCTTATATTCCTTCTGTCAGTCCTGGGTATGATGATAAACTACATCTGGCAGCATGACCTCTGATCGAGAGTAGGTTGCCATTTCTTTTTGTAGTAGACTGGTTGCCAACCAAGGCTATTGATCTCAATCTATCCTGCTCTTCAGCCATGATAATAATAGTCAGTTAAGTGAAATACGTGATACACGATTGGATGATCATGTCTCTTTTGATTCATGACTGACTAAGCAGAAGATTTTCTGGCAGTAGATTGCCATTTCTTTCTATAGTAGACTGGTTGCCAACCAAGGCTATAGGACCCAGTCTGTCCTGCTAATAGGGATGGATTCATACTATTCCTAATGGTATTTGTGTTTAAGTGATTGTAATGAACTTGACTGGAATTTGAACTCAGTGCTACCAATTTCTCATTTTTCCATTAGTTTGCAAAATTATTGGTACATCTATATAAACCACTTTAAATTATATAGACTAGTTTTAATTAAATATTTAAATCAGGTGAACATGGTAACCATTTACAAAATAAGCAACAATGAATAGGACCCACACTGAGTGAAAGGTGACAAAGGTTAATGAATATTTGTACTCCTACAAGTTGATTGCCTTGGGATAAGCACACTTTTAATGGAGAAATGTGTAATTAATCATATACCTGTCAAAATAGTCATTTAATATCCAGTGAATGCCTGACCGAGATATGAAAAAATCTGTCACTGACAAAATGACAAGTTGAGGACCTTATCTACAAGTTGATGAGGAAGTAAAATTTTTGGTCTGTTTTGGCATTTCTGATTTCATAAATATTTGAGTCAATCTGTCCAAGGCGGTCATAACATTATAAAAAGCAACAATTTCTGAGAGGAGGAATTATGTAAGAGTTTAGGAATTACATCCTTGTCCAAATTAATTGAAACAAAACGAATAATTTCATTATTATTTAATTTTTTTTGTATTTTTCCAATGAAACATGACCCAGTGCATATATTAGTACTTCGTATGTCCATGCCACAAAGTTGTTCCTTGTAGACTGACCACAGATTCTTGAGTGGATTTAAATCTGACCAGTCTATAGTATTTTGATTTTCTCACTGGTAAGTCTTTCCTGTGTGTTCGTGCAGCATTACCATTTCCATACACTTCCTTGGAGTAATGCCCATTGCAGACAATGTCCAAAGACAACTAATCGACAGTTGAGACAATAGTGTCTGGGTGTGATAAAATCTGATGCAATCATGGATGATGTAGTATTTTTCAAGGCCAAACCAATTACATCATGAGTCAGCTATGTGCCATGCGTGATACACACTCAGGCAATCATGTATCTTTTGATACATGACTGATGAGGCAGATTTTTCCTGCAGTAGGTTGCAATTTCTTTCTGCAGTATAGTAGACCAGTTGCCATCCAAGGCTAGAGAACCTGGTCTGTCATGCTATTTATCCATAACTGGGGGGAGAAGAAGAGGTTTCATACCTTTCCCAAGGGTATTAGCATGTAAAAGAATGTAATGGATTCGGATGGAATTTGAACTTGGCTCTCTGATTCCTCAATCCAAGCTTCTATCCATTTTGCCACCATTCCTCTTATTTCATAATACATCCCAAAAATATTCATATTACTGCACACCACTGCAAATGACGTAATCTGAGGAAAAAATAGAAATCAATTACACTATAACTCCAGTGGGTCTAAAATTGACCTTATAGTGAAAGAAAGGAAACTAAAGCAGTTGTTTTAATTAATTTCACAAGGGTGTAATTAAGTAATAATGAAGAGTGTATTGAGCCAGAATGTTGGAATAAAAAGCAACGATAATAAGATGGAATAAAACTAGTAATAAAATGTTATGATGTTGATTTGAGGTTAGTAAAGACAAACACCAAATAACGCGTAACAATAAAAAGGGGTTTATTAGGTTGGTAAGTAGGTACAGAAATCGCCTGAGTAGTCTATAACTAGCTCAGCCAAGAACTTCTGTCTTTGCTTGTAGACAAGTTCATCTTCAAGAGGGGTGGTAGGTTTCCAACACAACATAAAATAATAGTAATAATGAAGAATGTATAGAGCCAGAATGTTGGGATAAAAAGCAACAATAATAAGATGGAATAAAACTAGTAATGAAATAATAGTAATAATGAAGAGTGTATAGAGCCAGAATGTTGGGATAAAAAGCAACAATAATAAGATGGAATAAAACTAGTAATAAAATAATAGTAATAATGAAGAGTGTATAGAGCCAGAGTGTTGGGATAAAAATCAACAATAAAATGGAATAAAACTAATAATAAAATAATTGTAATAATGAAGAGTGTATAGAGCCAGAGTGTTGAGATAAAAAGAACAATAATAAGATGGAATAAAACTGGTAATAAAATAATAGTAATAATGAAGAGTGTATAGAGCCAGAGGGTTGCGATAAAAAGCAACAATAATAAGATGGAATAAAACTGGTAATAAAATAATAGTAATAATGAAGAGTGTATAGAGCCAGAATGTTGGGATAAAAAGCAACAATAATAAGATGGAATAAAACTAGTAATAAAATAATAGTAATAATGAAGAGTGTATAGAGCCAGAATGTTGGGATAAAAAGCAACAATAATAAGATGGAATAAAACTAATAATAAAATAATTGTAATAATGAAGAGTGTATAGAGCCAGAGTGTTGGGATAAAAAGAACAATAATAAGATGGAATAAAACTGGTAATAAAATAATAGTAATAATGAAGAGTGTATAGAGCCAGAGGGTTGCGATAAAAAGCAACAATAATAAGATGGAATAAAACTAGTAATAAAATAATAGTAATAATGAAGAGTGTATAGAGCCAGAATGTTGGGATAAAAAGCAACAATAATAAGATGGAATAAAACTAATAATAAAATAATTGTAATAATGAAGAGTGTATAGAGCCAGAGGGTTGCGATAAAAAGAACAATAATAAGATGGAATAAAACTGGTAATAAAATAATAGTAATAATGAAGAGTGTATTGAATCAAAATGTAATAATACAACTGTTCTTCCCTTAATCAAACATCTAACTTCAGAGACAAACTCAAAGGCAATATTTTTCAAACTTACTGTAAAGTTGCACACAACTGCATTGCCTAAAAAATTACTCACTGTTTCATCGTGCATGAATCTAAGGTTTTCCTTTTTGTTTTCTCAATTATTTTGGTTGATTAGCCAAGCAGGCGTCATAAATCAATTTATTATTTAGGATTCAAGGAAGATGATAAAACTTGTAGTTTCAACTCAAGTGAAGTGTTTATCTCTGCCTAATTTGTAGATGCATGTAAGAAATAAATAAATTACATATCAGATCAATACGGTACATGAGTAATCAGAAACATTGTCCCTATCATTATCCGTTATTGATTTGAATGAACATGAGATGGTCTAGGATTGAATATAACTAAACAGAACTGTTATTCAAACTATTTACATGTAGACTATTATCTTCATCTTTGTTGTTTCTATCACAATGTTTCGGCCATCGTGCCCACCAGCCTTCATCAGGTGCTTGTCCATCCTAGGGAATATTGAGCTGAATACTTTATTTAATCTACGGGTGTAGATAGCCCATGTCTAGTAATATTTCATTCAGTTCTTATTTAGTCTCAGTTATTGATCACCGTGTTACTACTATGTCCAAGTACACACATGCCTGGCCCAAACATTGAACTCACAATCACTAGGTCACCAAATTTGCACACCAATTCCCTCAATTCACAATGTTATTCTGAGTAGGCTAATGTCCTCTTCTTTCTTGTTATTACGTTTCGGCCATTGTGCTCTCTGGCCTTCTTCAGGAAGCTGTGAATCTGTGTAACCATCAATGGGTTTTGAACTAAATTCTTTATTTAATCTATGGTAGTAGATTGTTCTAATCATTGTCTGAATTTCAGGGATTAAGAGTTATCCATATTTCATTTGGACTAATGTCTTCATCATCATTATTATTACAACGTTTCAGCTGTTGTGCCCTCTGTCATCATCAGGTGCTGGTTGATATTTGATGGATTTTATTTAGTCTACAAAATATAGTATCTATGCACCATTATACAAGATAGCAAGCTAGATAAATAGAGAGATAAATAAATATGATCTTACATCAATAGATAGATAGAAACCGAGATAGATATGAACAAACTGAGATAGATAGATAGATAGATAGATAGAGAGAGAGAGAGAGAGAGAGAGAGATAAATAGATAGATCAAAAGAAACTGACATAGATAGATAGATAGATAGATAGATATGAATAGACTGACATAGATAAATATAAATTGAGATAGATATGATCTTACATTGATAGATAGAAAATGATTTAAATGGATAGATAGACAGATAAGAAGAGACTGTGATAGATAAAAAGAAAGAGAGATAAATAAAAACTGACTTAGATATATAGGTAGATAGATAAATAGATAGATGTGAATAAACTGATTGATAGATCGACAGATTAATAGATAGATGGATAAACAGAAATTGAGATAGATATATAGATATGATCAGACTGACATAGTAACTGATATAGACAGATATGAACAGACTGATATAGATAAATAAAAATTTAGATAGATAGAATCTTAGATTGATAGATAAAGAGATAGATAGAAACTGATAGATACAAACTTTCTTAGATAGATAGATAGATAGATAGATAGATAAGAAGAGACTGATGATAGATAAAAAGATAGATATACCAACTGACTTAGATAGTTAGATAGATAGAATCTTAGAATGATAGATAAATAGAAAGTGATTTAATTAAATAGATACAAACTTTCTTAGATAGATAATTAGATAGATAGATAAGTAGAGACTCTGATGATAGATAAAAAGATAGATACAAACTAACTTAGAATCTTAGATTGATAGAGAAATAGATAGATAGGAACTGATTTAGATAGATACAAACTTTCTTAGATAGATAGATAGATAAAAAGAGACTCTGATGATAGATAAAAAGATTGATAAATACAAACTGGCTTTGATAAATAGATAGTGTGAATAGAGTGAGCTAGATAGATAGATAGATAGATAGATAGATAGATAGATAGATAGATAGATAGATATTAACTGAGTGATATAAATAGATAGATAAATTGATAGATATTGGAGATATATTTTTATTCCTGAAAAATATAATTAACTATCTCCCCTCTAACTCCTTTAACTTTGCCTTAACTAGTTGCAAATCAACTGACTGACTGGTAAGATGAAGAGGATGTACGAGAGTGTTGGTTAAGAATCTGTATCACCACCATTGCACATCACACTGCCTGCTGTTAAATTTACCAATGTACAATTGAATGGATGGAGAGTGAAATTCACGCTTTTGACATGGGAACTGCAATACATCATAAACATTCCGCACGTTCTATGTGAATTCACACGAGAACCTGAGCAGTGGGGCAGGAAGAGAAAAAAAACCCTGTTAAATCAAGAGGTAGGGAGGGTGTTATCATATGTGCATCATCATCATCATCATCATCAGTCGCATACTCCGCTTGTTGCAGACTGCACATTAAATTAAGAGGTAGGGAGGTATTATCATATGTGCATCATCATCATCATCATAATCACCATCATCATAATCGCCATCATCATCATCATCATCGCCATCATCATCGCCATCATCATCATCGCCATCATCATCGCCATCATCATCATCATCATCAGTCATTTACTCCGCTTGTTGCAGACTGCACATTAAATCAAGAGGTAGGGAAGTGTTATCATATGTGCATCATCATCATCATCATCATTAGTCAATTTCTTTGCTTGTTACAGACTGCACATCAATCTGAGCTATTCTTCTCCATGAAGTTTGATCACCAACAGCAGAGTTCAAAGAGTAAAGGTCAAATCCATCCCATAAATGGACTTTATGAAGCCAGCATTTTGGTTGTCGACCTTTGCTTCTCTTACTGGACAAGTTTCCATCTAGGCATAACTTACTCTCGCCGTGACTTGATCTTTTGATATGACCATACAGCTTAAGTACTTTTGAATTGATAACTGATGTGATAGGCTTAAGCTGAGTAATGTTGAGTAGCTCATTGATAGAGATACAGTCGCTGAGGCGTTTCTTAGTCATAACTTTTGTGATGTGGCTCTGGGATACAGCAAGCTTTTGAAGTGACTTTGTCATCCAGTTAATGCAATCAAGACCATGTAACACAACTGGTAGAATTCAAGTGTCAAAGATCTTAGCCTTCAAATGGTGAGAAACTCTTTTTGATGCAAGCACTTCTTTGTTCGTGGTGAAAGCTGTCCAAACCAGAGTGATGCAATGTATAATCCCAGGATTTTATTCTTTCAATGAAAATCATTGGGATTATTCTAAACGAACAAATTATGAGCAGTCCCGCAACAATATTTTATATTATTGCATTGAATACCGACACTTTGAATTTTGGCATTCAACAAAAACCAAGTTGAAGGATTCCTACAAATGGCGACCATGATGAGACTACCTTGTGAAAACACTAAAGATGACAAACAGAACGCACAAATATACCTGTCTATATTTCTGAGATGAGGTATTAGGTACACTATTTAAATTATTCGGACTATTGTCCTCATCTTGGTCGCCATATTTATTACAACGTTTCAGCCGTTGTATGCTCCAGCCTTCTTCAAGTGGTTGGAATGTCGAACTGAACCTTTATTTCACTCACTGGGGTAGACTGTTCTAGTTCCACGTGCCATGTTTAATGGATGTTAGTTATCAGTTATCTCCTGTTAATTCCCCTCTCCAAGTTCTCCACTGTCTTAACTGGTTATTGAACTCACAACTCTTTGGGTCCTATCACTGGATCTAACCAACGCCTTTATCCACTGTGCCATGTGTCCTTGAGGATAAAGGCGTTGGTTGTAATAAATATGGCGACAAAGATAAGGACAATAGTCCAAATAATGTAAATAGTGTACATAATACCTCATCTCAGAAATATAGACAGATGTTCAGTTCAACATTCCAACCACCTGAAGAAGGCTGGAACATACATCAGCTGAAACGTTGTAATAAATATGGCAACAAAGATGAGGACAATAGTCCGAATAATGTAAATAGTGTATATCAATCTAGTGTTAACCATTATTAGATAGTTTATTTACAAGAATAATTTTATATCTACAACATTATAAAACCTCTTACAATTAGAACTGATGCAATGCCATATTTATCAGTTACAAATTTATAAAGAAATAAATATGAAAATTTTTTATTCATAAGTTTTTAAACATTTACTAAATTATTAAAATATGTGAACCATCTGTAAGGATATCCTTATTATTTGCCAATTTATAAAGTTTGAATTGATTGACAATTTTCCGATGTTTTGCCAACCATTCCAATAAACAATATAATAAATAAAGTGTTTATTATTTTTGTTGCCAATTCTCAAGAACAAAGAAAATGTTAAATTCACTTTATATTTAGGTTTCATTACAATTCTAATCATTGTCTTTTTAAAGCAATAAACATTGTTGAAGGTAGTTAAAATAAAATGGTATCATGGGAAAAACCATCCTCTTTTTTTTCCCTCTTTTTGTCAGACGAAGGGCAAAATTTGCCGAAAATTCAGTTTATATTTCTTTTCTTCTTCAACGCACCTCAATCCAAGAACCATTTTTTCATTCTCATAGTGAGCTGTCATAATGTTTTAGAACCAAGGAACAATTTCTTTAATGCATATGTTATGCCTTTTGTTAATACTCAGCATCCTGCACTGAATAAAAATCCACTTTGTTCTTGTAATATTTATCATAAAGGCAAATTGTATAACTTATTTTGACTGCCTTCTGTCACAAAAAAAAAAAGAGGGGCAGTTTTACATGACCACATATTTTTGCCTTCTTCATCAAAAATCCTCATGGAAGTGGAACGGTTCCCATAAGAAATAAGAAGTTGAGAAAGGTTTATCTTTGTTTCCAAACAAAAGCTGAATAATTTGCAACCCAAGAACCGGAAAACTGCATCTTGATTTGTGGCGATGCCAACAGTCTTGTGACTTGTAAGTGAAACAAACACACTTTTATTTAACTCTTTTAAATTAAATGCAATGTAACTTCATGTTGTAGCTCTCCACATCTTCCTATTCTTTATTATCTGTGAATTGCTATGATTTTCTGAAAAAGATAGTGGAACTGATTTCTGCTGTCTTAAACAAAATGTCCCTTCAGGATGTAGGCGATCATGACTCTCCACATCTTCCGTTTCTTTATTATCTGTGAATTTCCATGATTCTTAGGAAAGAGTGGAGTGGTTCACTGTTGTCTTCTCAAGTGTCCCTTCAAGCTGTAGGCGATCATGGCTCTCCACATCTTCCGTTTCTTTATTATCTGTGAATTTCCATGATTCTTAGGAAAGAGTGGAGTGGTTCACTGTTGCCTTCTCAAGTGTCCCTTCAAGCTGTAGGCGATCATGGCTCTCCACATCTTCAGTTTCCTTATTATCTGTGAATTGTCCTGATTCTTTGTGGAATAGTTTTTCTGCTGTCTTGCCAATGTATTTCTTTAGGATGTAGCTGGTCTTGCTATGACTTATTGGGACAGATAGTTGAATGGTTTCCCACTGCCTTCCACACAGTTTGAAATTTATAGTCATTATGTATTCAAGATATAAGTGATCATGGTTCTCCACATCTTCCATTTATTTATCTTTGGATTACCATGAGTGGTTTCCCATTTTCCTTTACACAGTTCGGAATTCAGAGTTTTCTTTTCTTAGTGTCATGGTTGCCCAAATCTATAGAGCACAGTCTACCCTGATATTTAACAAATAGCTGTGGCAGGAGAAGAGATGGTTTCATGCCTTTCCCAAGAGCATTTGTGCAAAAGAGAACACACCTGAAATTTGAACTTTGTTTGCTGGTTCCACTTTCTTTGCTGATACCCATTACACTTACACTTTGTTGATATCCATTATCCTTACACTTTGCTGATATCAATCACACTTATGCTTTGCTGATACCCATTACATTTACACCTTGCTGATATATATTATGCTTTCACTTTGCTTATATCCATTTTAATTACACTTTGCTGATATCAGTTATAATTTCACTTTGCTGATATCATTATACTTTCACTTTGCTGATATCTATTTCGATTACACTTTGCTGATATCCATTACACTTCCACTTTGCTGATATCATTATACTTTCACTTTGCTGATATTTTATATAGTTTCACTTTTCTGATATCCACTATACTTACCGCACATCCTAAACTCACAAAAGCAAACTATCTGCAAATATGTAATGCAGAGTCAGTAGCCAGGAACTTAAAGTCATGTGCCAATTTGAATATCTTGGCTTGATTATCAGCAAAAATGATTAAATGCCTCCAATATAGAAATAATTCCCAGAACAGCACAAACAGTATGATATTATCGCAAAATGAAGAACTATCTGGAAATACAATAGCAATCTGCTTGAAAACAAAGATCAAACTCTTGTGTACACTGGCCTTTTCTGCCTTTGTATCTGCATTGCAGCAAAGAAGCCAAACATTAGAAATGAGATGCTACAGAACTGTCCAAGGCATCTCCTATGTAGACCGTATCACAAAGGATACAGTGTGAGACACCATCCGATAAACAGACCCTTTGAAAGACCTCCTAACCATGGTCAGCAAGAGAAAGTGGAAAAGTTGTGAACACATTATAAGAGTTGACAATCTTTCCACTGTCATCCTACAAGGTTCCACCCAAGTCAAAAGAAGAGGCAGACAGAAGAAAAAAATGGCTGACAATGACACTGAGTAAACTGAATAATCATTCACAGAGACTCAAACAATGTCATGCAACTGAGAAATATGGAGGGAGCTAGTCAGGTGCTCAGCAACACAATAACCCTAGCTAAGCACCTGACCCTATAACCACACCTAGTCATGGGAGTTATGATAATGATTTTTCTTTCTTTTTTTTTTTTTTTTTAAATCAGTTCATCTAAAGCAAAGCAATAATGTCACAAAGACACAAGTGGCTACTTGGAGAGAAAGAAAATGAAAAAAAAAAAAATTAACAGAGGAACCTGAAATCCAATCCTAAACAAGGAACAATGTATAAACCTCTACTCTTGTCCAAAAGACCTAGGAGGGGTGTGAACTGGATGATATGTGAACCTAGCTACTTTTATTGAGAAAAAAAAAATAGTAAATAAAATGTCAGAGCTGAGGAGGAGACATTGGAAATATAGAGTTGAATTAGACTTTAGAAGGAACTGGAAACCCAATCCTAAAAAGGAAATAAAGGGTAAACCTCTACTCCTATTCAACATATATGTAACAGACATCAACTTACATAGTTAAAGAATAGTGTATTATTATTACTTTTACTAGTATTACTTTAATTTTTGAAGGCACGGTGGAGTAATGGATAGTGGCTCAGATTGAGGAATCGGAGTGCCGAGTTTGAATTCCAGTCGAATCCATTACATTCACTTACGTGCTAATGCCCTTGGGAAAGGTATGAATCCTTTTCTTCTCCCACCAGCTATGGGTAAATAGCAGGACAAAC